CAGTACCGGTCATTGGGCTAGACGAGTTGTTTAACGAGCGCTCGCCGCTCATGCCCAGGTCTCCAGATACCAGAGTAGAGATTAGTCCTACTAAGTCCCGTGCAGGTTTGGCAGCAAGGCCCTATCCTTCATCCACGGAGTTCTATGACCTAGGATAGAAGGGACTCAATGCAGAAAGAATAGACAGACAGACTGTACTCAGCAAGTACCAAGGGGTATGTGCACATCCATAGGGCAAGGGGGCAGGCTAAGGGCTTGGCGAGATGTTACCAACTCCATCTTGGTCAAAGTCTTGGTCAACGCCTTGGTCAACGGCCTTGGTCAATGCCGGTCAACGCTGCTATGACCCTCGGTCAACTTTGGTCAACTCCGGTCAACGCCTCCGGTCAACCCTCTTGGTCGACTCCCCGGTCAGCTATGGCTGCCGGCACTTCTTCCTCGCCAATCCCCTTCTTCTTCCTTACCTCCCTGGCTGCCTTTACCCCGCTGTCTTCTTCTTTCTCTCTTTTTTTTTTTTTTTTTTTTGATCGGCCTCCTCTTCACCTCTTGGCTATGGCCGGTCCTTCTTCCTCCTCGGTCTCTCCCCTTCTATCCTTCTCCCTCCTACTTCGTCACTCCATGGTACAGGCTCTGCGGCTATGGCCGGTGTCTTTCTCCTTCGTGGACTGCGCAGCAACTTCACAGGTACGTAACAGCCAATCTTGTATCGCTCATCTCTCTCTCTCTCTCTCTCTTTCTCTCTCTCTCTCTCTCTCTGTGTCTCGGTCTTCTTCTTCGTCGTGGTCTTCTTGCAGGTGCGCAGCGGCTTCTTCAATCTCAAGTCCGCTATGGCGGACTATCTCCTTCGACTGCCAACTCGGCTATGGCGCATCAGGCCCTGCCTACGACGGCGCGCATGAAATAGCGGGTACCAGCTCCGATACCAATGCAATCAGACTCATTCTCAAACACACTTTTCATGCATGTAAACAGCAACGCAGCATACTGGCAACATGCGCCCACTCAAAACTCGGAGATATGGCTTTCAGATACGAGTTCACTCTCAATTGGCTATGGCGACTTCAGCGCCTAAACATCCCACTGTTCACATACACTGGATCACCCTGGATATCCCACACACGTTACTCTGAACACTCACACAGGCACACACACTCTTTCACTAACTACAGCTATGGCAGCTATGGCTGCCTCTAACCTATCGCTGTGCTAACTCCTCCTCTCTCGCCCACTGAGTCCTCCGGGCTCATCTGCAGACCTCCTTGCACAAGTCGCTGTGGCAACGCTTCCGCATGGCTCACGCAGGAATGAATGAATGGCTGGGCGCTGCCTCTTGATTTATACTTCAGAAACTCGTTGGTCTGCCCTTTGCCATCGGCCCTTGGTGCTCACAGTCCCCCTGTGGTGCTTGCTGGACCGGACTGGGACTGACTGGACCTTCCGCTGACTGACTGTGGACTCACCGCCATCCTACCGACGTTGTACTGCTGTTGCACTGCGGTTTAGTCCACCACTTGCCTCTCCACTTGACCACTTGCCCTCTTGCCTACCTTCTAGTAGGTCTACAGCTAAGCTTCCGGAACTCACTAAGACTCCTACGCTATAGACCTACAGATCGAACCCCTGCTGCCTATGGACCTACGACAGGCCTACCACTGCCTACGAATACACAGGTCACAGGTTCAATTCTCGGGGTCTACACAGATACTGTACATGGGTAGGGTGAGGTCTAGGGATCGAACCCTGGGTACCGCATCCGCCACTGCTAAAAGGTGAAAACCGTTTCATGCCGCACAATAAATACTTAAACCTCCAGTATTTCCTAAAGTTGTGCCGGTAAACAAGCCACAATTTAAGGAAACGTACGGGCCACTACAGGAGTGCCCAAATGCATCCGACTAGAAACGTTTCTACTCTATTTTTTCCCATGGCCGATAGCTGGACCAAGCACTCGTGCTTTAATAACAATAATAAATTCCACGGCCGCACTGATCTACAACAGCAAGATTTCTAATCACTGGAGGGAAAAGAATCAGATACAATCATTTCTACTTCTAACTATTGCTGTTCTTTTGTCTGCCTGTGTGATGACGTCCTAAGCAAGAGTGTAGAGGTACCGTACCAGGCCCGTGTGATCAGACACAGCACACAAGTAAGTACGGAAACATCGCACACAACAACAACAGGTAAGTATGCCAACAACAATCACAAACAGTTTGTCAGCAACCTTCGTCAGTCTGCTGTGTCTTCTTGATGCCAGTGCGATCACGCACTCTCCCTGACAGCTGGCACTACAGGTGTGTAATTAGTCCAGTCAGCTGTACCGCTGTCGTCTTTAGAGTGCACCTCTTACTTGGCAGTATCCTGCCTGCCACGTGTCATCCCGGGAGTGCCAACATAGCAATGTTGCCACGTCAGCACTCTGTCCAGTCTGTCAATAATGGGATGCCATGTCAGCAAATGTGTAGTCCGATCCTCGCCATGTGCCTCCTCCAAACGTCACGTGAGATACCGTTGCCGTCCAGCCAGTCAGATTATACCTCGTCAGCCAAGAAGTTCAATGCCACGTCAGCAAGCAGACACCACCTCATAAGACAGGTGTGATGACCTGCTCCTGCCACGTCAGCAATTAATCTTTCCTCCAGGCCACGTCAGCATCTGCAATAGACCCTGTCGCGTGTCAGCAGCGCAAGGAGTGCCACATCAGCAATGAACAGGGTCTTCAGACGCAGCACGATATGTGCCACGTCAGCATGTGATCGCGATGCCACATCAGTATCGCGATCCTGGTTGGCGTGCGGTGTCCCTTGTTGCGATCCCCACTGCCGCGTCAGCAGCCTAGTGGGGATGTCTTCTGGCCAACATAGCGTGTTCCTCGTCAGCTGCTTCGTCAGGTCTTCTTGCCAGTGACCCCGTACTTCGTCAGCAATCCCCGGTACTGTCCTCTCGCCGAAGAGGTATGTACCACGTCAATATCCCCAGCGTATCCCTTGCTACGTCATCAACTACTCAACCTTACTTACCTGCGCGCCACCTGGCGCATACTCAATATACAAATGTCATCGTCAGGAGATTCGCTCCGATACCAAATTGCAATGAACCCAGATCGTGAAACAGTTGTCAACAATGCAGGTCCAGATAATTGTCCATCGGCTGATGATTACTAATAGTCAAAGATCGTGACCAGACAGAATGAGGTGAGATATCATACACAGACGAAGAGAGAGAAGGGAGAAGAGACAAAGGAGAGGAAGTAAAACGCCCAGTCCTGCTTCGGGCTCCCTCCTCCACTGCCACCTCGTCAATCAATAGTCTGAATGAGTATCCGAATATCCTCAATGTGCCACGTGGCACGTCTAATCAGTTCCACATCAGCATCTGGAGCAATGTCGACATGAAGACCACCAGGTACGCATCCGCGAACTCTCCACAGTCCTGATCTCCTCCTGAAGTGACGACGAACAGAACAGCAATGCCGATTACGTAGTCCCCTCAATAGAACACGTGGCAGCAGCCACGTCAGTGAAGGTGCATGAAAGCTGCCACGTCAGCATGCCAAGAAGACAGGAGCAAGCCGGCCACCATGCCGGACTAGCAGCGCCTCGCCAAGTGACAATGCCAGCAGCGTTGAGCCAGCGTTGAAGTCAACGCGTGAAGTCAGCATCAATGCAAGACAGAATGAATGTCAAAGCCAGGAAGTCAACTCTTATGTAGTGTTGACGCGGGGTCTGGACCCCGGATGCTGTCTCACTCGGCCGTCCAAATCTCAATGCGAATGAGGGCTCAGATCGGCCTGAAACCGAATTCCCTCCGGCCTGGATGCTGTCTGGGTACCTGCGCACAACAAGTGGGTGTACACAACCCAGGGCCTGGGTGCGGTACCTTTGACTCTACAGTTGACTTTGACTCTTGAATTTCCTGTGTGCAGCGTTCGGTCACACAGCCACACTCGACAGACTCAGGCCTGGGCGTGTCTTGGTCACACAGCCCAGCGCAGACCTTCTCAGGTCTATGTGGCCTGGGGCTGAGTTCTGGGCCCCAGGCTACTGCTGAACAGGGTTATTACATAAATCCCTACTTAGATGCNGCGCAGACCTTCTCAGGTCTATGTGGCCTGGGGCTGAGTTCTGGGCCCCAGGCTACTGCTGAACAGGGTTATTACATAAATCCCTACTTAGATGCTTGCTTAATTTAGTGTTGTGGTCATCTGCCTCATGCATTGTCCATTTCCTCACTCCAATAAAAATTGCAAGTTGGGTTTTTGGCTTTAAAGTCATGTGTGTGTTATGTACCCGATTGAACTTCAATCCACAACGAATTCACACGTTCACATACACATGCGATTGCAGAGTAGACTTGAAGGAGGCAAATCCACACAAAACCAGAGATAAGATAAGCACAGCGGAAGCTCAAAACACATAGAGAATTGAGA